GGACTGACATTGACTGAATCAGAGATCCTGCCTAGAAACAGGCCAATAAGCAGGTGGCTTACAGCAACAGTGTGGGTGACACAGGGCCACCTGGAGTCCATAATATCCTTTCCTGTATTCTAGTTCAGTTACACAAATAAGGCCATGAAGTTTAAGTCAACACTTTTATGATTTTGATCAGAAGCAGCCTAGAATTAACACCTGGTGTTTCTAGACTTTCTGAGTACCTTTAACCTTGAAAATCACTAATAGGTGCTGGCTCAAGATGGTAATCTGAGCATATTTGTTTAATTCCCTCTTGAAAACTCCCATTTGAACTCATGAAAGGAATGTGAGGAAGCGTGTGGTATAAGCACTAGAAGAGGAAGGAGGAAGGTAGCAATCTCCAAATTAAAATGTGTGGGTGAGTGAAATGGACCCACAGCAAAAGCCCATTAACAAACCCACACGCAGATCAGTGAGGGCTGGAAGAACTGCAGCCACCTAGGAGACTGCCAGGATGGTCAGTTTCTGCTCATCGGGAGCCTCCTTACTTCTAGCCTTTAATGCTGTAAGAGAGGGGCAATTACAGAATTCTACAGTCTTTTCATTTTGCCAGTCCCTTGCTGCAGGGAGCAGGGCAGTCTGCTCACACTCCCATGCTAAATAAAGCAGGGCCCAGCTAGAGCTCTGGCAACCCGAAGAGGGTAACCAGGCCAATTAGGAAAGGGGCACTGGCCCAGCCATCCTCATGCTGCCACAAAAAAATAAATAAATTCTTTGGGCATGGCTGCCTGAGTCTCCCAAAGATGAACCTCTACAAAGTAAACCTTCACTAAATCTGTGTTTCCCTTCTCTCTTTGAGTGTGCTTTTTAAGATCTGAACAGGCACCCACATAATTCAAAAGAAAACTGTTTCCAACTACCCAAACTAGAAAAATAACCCTCTCTAAGCAACAGAACATACTGTGGCAGCCATGAAAATATGCCTCTCAGATCTCCTGCTCTGGGGAGCATCATTCAGTGATGCTCTGGAGCCACGAGGTTCCCACTCAGGCCACACTTTCCGAGGAGTCTTTTATTATCAACAAGCACAGTGCAGGTACTAAGACAGGCCCATTCTGGCAAGGTGCTAACTCCTTCAAAAGGCAGCTTTGGCTTGAAGACTCTCCATCAACTTAGCTATATGACAGAAATCATCTGAAGAACAGAGAAGGGTTTGGGCGGGGGGCAGGGGAGGGGAGAGACTCAGAGACTGAGACAGAGGCTTAGTATATTTATAATTGAAGTCCCAGGAGAGAAGAGAAAACATGAGTCAGGAAAATGATCTGAGGAAATAACGGCTGACGTTTTCCCGTATTTGATTAAATGGTATAAATTTACAGAGCAAAGAGGTTCATCAAACTCCAAGATAAATACACAGAAAACCGTATCAAGGCACACCTGAAAGCTGCCAAAAGACACAGTCGATAAAGGGAACAACTATTTCAATATCCAATGACTTGTCATCAGAAACAATGAAGGCCAGAAGACAGCAGACAAGATCTATAAAGAGATTCTATTTTTTATTTTTTTGAGACAGGGTCTCACTCTGTCACCCAGGCTGGAGTGCAGTAGTGCAATCTTGGCTCACTGAAACCTCCGCCTCCTGGGTTCAAGTGATTCTAGTGCCTAAGCCTCCTGAGTAGCTGGGATTACAGGCACACACTGCCACATCTGGCTCATTTTTTTTTTTTTTTGTATTTTTAGTAGAGACAAGGTTTCATCATGTTGGCCAGGCTGGTCTTGAACTCTTGACCTCAAATGATCCACCCATACCCGCCATTGCCTCCCAGAGTGCTGGGATTACAGGTCTGAGTCACTGCACCCAGTCAAAAGATTTTTTTTTTTTTTGAGACGGAGTTTCGCTCTTGTTATCCAGGCTGGAGTGCAATGGCGCGATCTCGGCTCACCGCAACCTCCGCCTCCTGGGTTCAGGCAATTCTCCTGCCTCAGCCTCCTGAGTAGCTGGGATTATAGGCACGCACCACCATGCCCAGCTAATTTTTTGTATTTTTAGTAGAGACGGGGTTTCACCATGTTGACGAGGTTGGTCTCGATCTCTCGACCTCGTGATCCACCCGCCTCGGCCTCCCAAAGTGCTGGGATTACAGGCTTGAGCCACCGCGCCCGGCCAAGATTTTTTTTAAAAAAGAGTAAACTAGTAATTTGTTGCCAGGAGATTTGTACTATAAAAAATGCTCCAGAAAGTTCTTCAGGCTTAAGGGAAATATTAGATCTTCAAGAAGAAATGAAAAATATTAAAAATGGTAAATATGTGAATATATATAGAAAAGATTTTATTTTTCCTCTTAATTTCTTTAAAATACATATTATTCAAAGCAGAAATTATGACAGGGCTTACAATATATATAGATTTAATAGGTATGACAATTACAGCATAAAAGGCAGGGATGGTAAATGGATGTACACAGTTACAAGATTTCTATATTTTATGTGAAGTGGGACATCAACTCTAGGTAGACTGAAAAATTAAGAATGCATAATGGAATTACTAGAGCATCCAACTTAAAAAAATTATAAAAACAGTATAGCTAAAGAATCTACTAAGCTAAAGAGAAAACATGTAGAGTATTAAAAACAATTTAATGTTAACACTTATTAAAAGGTAGAGACAGAATAGATCAAAATGCAAGACTCAAGTATATGTTATTTAAAGAAACTACTTTACGGTGGCTCAAGCTTGTAATCCCAGCACTTTGGGAGGCCGAGGCGGGTGGATCACAAGGTCAAGAGATCGAGACCATCCTGGTCAACACGGTGAAACCCCGTCTCTACTAAAAATACAAAAAATTAGCTGGGCATGGTGTTGCGTGCCTGTAATCCCAGCTACTCAGGAGGCTGAGGCGGGAGAATTGCCTGAACCCAGGAGGCGGAGGTTGCAGTGAGCCGAGATCGTGCCATTGCACTCCAGCCTGGGTAACAAGAGCGAAACTCTGTCTCAAAAAAAAAATAAATAAATAAATAAAGAAACTACTTTAAATAGACACAGAAGTACAAAGTAAATGAATAGAAAGAGGTATACTGTGCAAAAACTAAGCTTAAGAAGGCTGCAGTATCAGAGGGAAATTTCATAATGATAAAATGGTCAATACACTGGGAAGACCTAAGTTATTAGAGCTTCAAAAAATGAAGGAAAAACTGGTAGAATTAAGGAAAAAAAAGGACAATTCCACAATCATTGAAAACGTTAACATCCTTTTTCAGCACCTGATAAACAAAAAAATCAGTAAAGATGTAGAAGATCTGAACAATACTATCAACCACTTAATCTAATCCATATTACAGAACATATTCACCCAACAATTCAAATTACATATTCCTATTTTTAGAGGCATGGTCGCGCTATATGTTGCCCAGGCAGGTCTTGAAATGACGCTCCCATCTCATCCTCCCAAAACGCTGGATTACAGGCATGAGCCACCACAACTGGCCTAAAATACACATTCTTTTAAACTGTGTGTGGTACATTCATCAGGACAGACAATATATTGGGTCATAAAACAAGTCTCAATAAAACTAAAGGACTAAAATCATAAAGAGGATACTGACCTTATTGGAATTAAAGTAGAAATCAGCAACAAGATACTAAGAGGAAAAAAAACAAGTATTTGCTAATTAGACTGTCTACTTCTGATAATCTGTGGGTCAAAGAATAATTCATGGAGGAAATCAGAAAATAATTAGAGGCCGGCCGGGCGCGGTGGCTCAAGCCTGTAATCCCAGCACTTTGGGAGGCCGAGGCAGGTGGATCACGAGGTCAAGAGATCGAAACCATCCTGGTCAACATGGTGAAACCCTGTCTCTACTGAAAATACAAAAAAAGTAGCTGGGCATGGTGGCGCATGCCTGTAATCCGAGCTACTCAGGAGGCTGAGGCAGGAGAATTGCCTGAACCCAGGAGGCGGAGGTTGCGGTGAGCCGAGATCGCGCCATTGCACTCCAGCCTGGGTAACAAGAGCGAAACTACGCCTCAAAAAAAAAAAAAAAAAAAAAAAAAAAAAAAAAAAAATTAGAGGCTGAGTGTGGTGGCTCATGCTTGTAATCCCAGCACTTTGGGATGCAGAGGTGGGCGATCACCTGAGGTCAGGAGTTTGAGACCAGCCTGGCCAGTGTGGTGAAACCCCATTTCTACTAAAAATACAAAAATGAGCCAGGCGTGGTGGCCAGTGCCTGTAGTCCCAGTTACTCAGGAGGTTGAGGCAGGAGAATCACTTGAACCCAGGAGGCAGAGGCTGCATCAGGCCAAGATCGTATCATTGCACTCCAGCCTGGGCGACAAAAGCGAAATTCCGTCTCAAATAAAAAAAAAAAAAGAAAATAATTAGAACTGAATAATGAAAATACAACATAATAAAATTGTAAAGATGCAACTAAAGTAATGCTTAAAGGAAAATTTATAGCTTTAAATATATATTTTAAATAACATCCAAGATCAATGACCTAAGGCTTATCTTAAGGAACTAAAGAAAAAAGATCAAAAAAACCCCAAGTTAAGTAGAAGAAAGAAAATAATGAAGAAAAGAAATCAATTTAGGCCAGGCGCGGTGGCTCACGCCTGTCATCCCAGCACTTTGGGAGACCAAGGCGGGTGGATTGCTTGAGGTCAGGAGTTGGAGACCAGCCTGGCCAACATGGTAAAACCCCATCTTTTTTTTTTTTTTTTTTTTTTTTTGAGATGGAGTGGCTGGAGTGCAATGGTGCAATCTCAGCTCACGGCAACCTCCGCCTCCTGGGTTCAGGCAATTCTCCTGCCTCAGCCTCCTGAATAGCTGGGATTACAGGCACGCACCACCATGCCCAGCTAATTTATTTTTAGTAGAGAAGGGGTTTCACCATGTTGACCAGGATGGTCTCGATCTCTTGACCACCTGCCTCAGCCTCCCAAAGTGCTGGGATTACAGGCATGAGCCACTGTGCCCGGCCTAAAACCCCATCTTTAAAAAAAAGAAAGGAAAAGAAAAAAAAAGAAATCAATTTAACTTTATTTCTACAAATTTCATAACCTGGGTCAAATGGATAGATTCATTACCTAAATGACACAAGATCAAACCAAAAAATCTGATTAGCCCTATATTTATTAAATACATTACAGAAAACCATACAAAGAAAATTTAAGGCCCAGATGGTTTCAGACATTAATTCTACAGACCTAACGAGGAAAAAGGGGATGGTTAGAATTGGGTTACTAAAAAGTTAGTTTTTAATATCAACAGGAATACTCGTCAAGAGTCCACATTACACAGGTTATAAATGCTAGACACTATAGAGAAATAGGAATCAGCTCTGATGACATTCATTTTTTCTTCCCTTTCAAAGGCTTGGCAAATAAAGCCGGGTCAATTTGCTCCTTTGCCAGTCCTCTGACAGAGAAGAGTCTTGCGGCCCGCTCCTGTAAAGTGCCCCCACATTTCAGTCCAAGGGCCATCAGTTCACACTTGAGCTTCTCCAAACCCAGCAACTCCAGTTCTGCAACAGAGTTGAACGCCAATAAATCTATAGTTTCCTTACCAATAACCTGAGGGAAAAAAATAAAATAGTTAAAACAAGCTCTTTCCTCTGAATAAAGACTCTTAACTGTCAACCACATTTTATTTCTTGAGAAATTTTCATTTAATTTGCCATATCTTGCAACTGAATTTTAATCATCATTCATCCACTTTATTCCATAAGTATTCTCAATACATATAATTTTTCATCTACACATTTAGAAACGAGCATGCAGAACAGTAACAGAAGTACAGAATTCCCAGATTTTTAATATTGTTCTTTTCTGATTTTTCCAGTAAAAATCTAAACAGTAAAATACACCAGCCTATTCCCACAGAAAAGATCAGGCACTCCTAAAAGCTTAATGAGAATCTCATGCCTCTGTCTATTAATTCCATAATCTTAATGTTTTCTATTCTAATTAAGTAATTAAGACTAATTGTCAGAGTTCCCCCTTATATACCTCAACAAATTCAAATACTGTTCAATAGACTTCCAACTGTTCTACCCACCAAGTACCTTTATAGGCTTTAAGACAAAATTAGCCTGTAATCCCAGCACTTTGGGAGGCCAAGGCAGGCGGAACACTTGAGGTTAGGAGTTCAAAACCAGCCTGGTCAACACGGTGAAACTCCATCTAATAAAAATACAAAAATTAGCCAGGTGTGCTGCTGTGTGTTCCTATAGTCTCAGCTACTCAGGAGACTGAGGCAGGAGAACTGCTTGAACCTGGGAGGTGGAGGTTGCAGTATGCAGAAATCACACCACTGCACTCCAGCCTGAGTGACAGAGTAAGACTCTCGTCTTCAGAAAAAGAGAAAATTAAATACTGCTAATGATACCTTGGAAAGAATGAAAATGTTCATCTTTAGGTGAGTTTTGAAAAATATATTCAAAGAAGAACTTTCTTTCACAGTTTTAAAATATTAAAGAACTCTGGAGCAACACACTCTCTCTCTAGGTGATCTTTCTTTTCTTAAAAAAGCTATTTTGTGGCCGGGCGCGGTGGCTCAAGCCTGTAATCCCAGCACTTTGGGAGGCCGAGGCGGGTGGATCACGAGGTCAATAGATCGAGACCATCCTGGTCAACATGGTGAAACCCCGTCTCTACTAAAAACACAAAAAATTAGCTGGGCATGGTAGAACGTGCCTGTAATCTCAGCTACTCAGGAGGCTGAGGCAGGAGAACTGCCTGAACCCAGGAGGTAGAGGTTGCGGTGAGCCGAGATCGCGCCATTGCACTCCAGCCTGGGTAACAAGAGCGAAACTCTGTCTCAAAAAAAAAAAAAAGGCTATTTTGTTAGATTTCTGGGATTAACGTTGGCTTATTTGTGACCAAATTCTAAAACACCACTTATATGTATTTAAAGAATCACACCTGGTTGTTATGAATACAATAGCTATTACAACAACATCAAGAACAAAACCCAGGTTAACATTGAAAAATATCAGGTTTTATCCTATGATTCCGTATTTTTCTATGACTTCAGTCAGGATAAAGCTCTTACCTAATAAATGCACGTAACATAAAAATTACAGGCTTACAACTCCAGAGATTTTATTAGGCGCAAATTAAGGTCCTTAGCATAAAAGATTCCAATATTCTTAGCAGAAAAGGTATCTATGCATTTTTACTTATTTACTGGGGGAGGGGAAGGTGCTGGCTAAACAAATATTTTGTGTTTATTGAAGGTAATTAAGTAGTTTAGGTTTAGGCCCTTAGCATAAAAGATTCCAATTAAATTAAGGCCCTAAAAGATTCCAATATTCTCACCAGAAAGGGCAATTTATGCATTTTTGCTTATTTACTGGAATAGGGGAAGGTGCTGGCTAAACAAATGTTAGGTTTTGTGTTTATTGAAGGCAATAGTTTAGGTTTTGCCTAGTCTAAAAAGCAAATCATTAGATTAAAGAATATCAGAGATTTTTGCTGGAAGCCAGTCCACTGTAGATAGTGAAAAAACCAATTTTTTGAGACAATGTACTATGAAAATGCCGTTTTTATTTTATTATTATTTTTTGAGACAGCCTCTCTCTGTTACCCAGTCTGGAGTGCAGTGGTGCAATCTCACCTCACTGCAACCTCTGTCTCCCAGGGCACAAGTGATTCTTGTGCCTCTGCCTCCTGAGTTGCTGGGATTATAGGCATGCACCACAATGACTGACTAATTTTGTTTTTTGTATTTTTTTTTTTTTTTTTGAGACAGAGTTTCGCTCTTGTTACCCAGGCTGGAGTGCAATGGCGCGATCTCGGCTCACCGCAACCTCCGCCTCCTGGGTTCAGGCAATTCTTCTGCCTCAGCCTCCTGAGTAGCTGGGATTATAGGCACGCGCCACCATGCCCAGCTAATTTTTTGTATTTTTAGTAGAGACGGGGTTTCACCATGTTGACCAGGTTGGTCTCGATCTCTCGACCTTGTGATCCACCCGCCTCGGCCTCCCAAAGTGCTGGGATTACAGGCTTGAGCCACCGCGCCCGGCCTTGTTTTTTGTATTTTTAATAGAGACAGGGTTTCACCATGCTGGCCAGGCTGGTCTCGGGCTCCTGACCTCAAGTGATCTGCCATTTCAGCCTCCCAAATGCTGGGATTCCAGGCGTGAGCCACCACAGCCAGATGAAGATGACTTTTTTAGAAGGCTGACTGTGAGTACTTAAGATTTAATGATACATTTAAAAGGAGAGGTTCCTCTTCTATAGAAAAGGTCTTCACAGTCAGCTGAAATTATTGTTCAAACTGTATCCTCACATTAGAAACAAGAAGCTGAGTAGCAATTTCGTGACAGGAAAAATGAGCACATTCATCAAATCAAAAATGCCATGTATCGTAATATACCCTTGTTCATGTGTTACTAGGAATAAGTAATACCAATTAAGCTATGTTATACACATCTCATTTTAGACATGCTAAAATGTAGAAAACATGCAGTCTTACAATTGATGCAATATGAAATCAAGGACACCACCTAGTGGCAATATAGTATAAATTCCAGTGCTTAAAAAGGGTCTTTGAGGAACAAGGCAAGCTTCACCATAATCTGTCCTTAAAATCAAACAAGCCTCAGGCCAGGCGTGGTGGCTCAAGCCTGTAATCCCAGCACTTTGCCGAGGCGGGTGGATCACCAGCTCAAGAGATTGAGACCACCCTGGTCAACATGGTGAAACCCCGTCTCTACTAAAAATACAAAAAATTAGCTGGGCATGGTGGCGCATGCCTGTAATCCCAGCTACTCAGGAGGCTGAGGCAGGAGAATTGCCTGAACCCAGGAGGCGGAGGTTGCGGTGAGCTGAGATCGCGCCATTGCACTCCAGCCTGGGTAACAAGAGCGAAACTCTGTCTCAAAAAAAAAAAAAAAAAAAAAAAATCAAACAAGCCTTTTACTAAGCAGCTGAGGGGGAAAAGCACATTTTCATTTTAATGATTTATTGTGGAGATTAAATTGATTTAGTTTTAGAAATCAACCCCAAACTTACTGTGTCTCCTGGCTGACTTTCCTGCAGTTTGGCAACGGCAATGTTTTCCTTATCTTCAAGTGCTACCTCGGCAACTCTTTTCCCAACAGTCCCTTCTTTTGTCTCCTTCTCATTCAGTCCAGCCCCAGTGGATTCCTCTTCTATGGATTCTTTACTCTCTGCCTTATTCTCCTGGGTCTCTTCTGTTTCTATCACAATCCTGCTTTCCATGTGCTCTTTGGACTCCCCCAGCTCAGCACATGAGTCTTCTGAAATATGCCTCCCAGAGTCAGTCACTGCGATCTGCAGTTGTTCTGGTGATTCAGGGTCAGTATTCACTACTCTTGCCCTCTGAGAACTACTGGGAAATTTGGCTGTCATCTTGACATCATCGCTGCCATGTTTTGGGGCATGGAAACTGATTCCTGAAGTGCTCAGTGCTTCTTCACTGTCATCATCTGAGCTCTCAGAGCTGGACCCTTTCACAGTCTCTAGTCCCTCCATGCCCAACCTGTCAGAAGCAACAAAAAGGTTTAACAGCATTTATATATTCTATTTAAAGCAAAGAGTTACAGTTTGGCCAGGAAACAGAATCTGTCTCTGCTAGCTTGAGATGGAGAACAGGTATATTTCAGAAAAAGATATTCCAGAGCTTATAAACAAAAGGGAAAAAAATTTCAATGAGACTAGACCCAACTGTCCCAAAGATCTACAAGGACCTCCTTTCTAAAGTTCTGAATCTCTGAAAGCAAAACTGATTTTGCTTAAAGCTTCCCCCCCGACCCCATATTACATTAACTTTGATGGTTGGAAATTAGATAAAATAATAAATAGTTATAAAGAAAATCCAGCCAGGTGTGGTGGTTCATGCCTGTAATCCCAGCACTTTGGGAGACTGAGGTGGACAATCACTTGAGGTCAGGAGTTTCAGACTAGCCTAGCCAACATGATGAAACCCTCTCTCTACTAAAATTAGAAAACTTAGCTGGGCATGGTGGTATGCACCTGTAGTCCCAGATACTTGGGTGGCTGAGGCAGGAGAATGGCTTAAACCTGGGAGCTGGAGGTTGCAGTAAGCCGAGATCATGCCATTACACCCAGCCTGGGCGAAAGAACAAGACTCCATCTCAAAAAAAAAAAAAAAAGAAAAAGAAAAGAAATAAAGAAAGGCCAGGCATGGCAGTGGCTCAATACCTATAATCTCAGCACTCTGGGAGGCTGAGGCAGGAGGATCACCTGAGGTCAGGAGTTCGATACCAACCTGACCAACATGGTAAAACCCCATCTCTACTAAAAATACAAAAATTAGCTGAGCATGGTGGCAGGCACCCCTAATCCCAGCTACTCAGGAAGCTGAGGCAGGAGGATCACTTGAACCCAGGAGGCGGAGGTTGCAGTGAGCCGAGATAGAACCACTGCACTCACTCCAGCCTGGGTGACGAGAGTAAGACTTCATCTCAAGGCCTGTAATCCCAGCACTTTGGGAGGCCGAGGCGGGTGGATCATGAGGTCAAGAGATCTAGACCATAATAGTCAACACGGTGAAACCCCGTCTCTACTAAAAATACAAAAAACTAGCTGGGCATGGTGGCGCGCGCCTGTAATCCCAGCTACTCGGGAGGCTGAGGCAGGAGAATTGCCTGAACCCAGGAGGTGGAGGTTGCGATGAGCCGAGATCGCACCATTGCACTCCAGCCTGGGTAACGAGAGCGAAACTCCGTCTCAAAAAAAAAAAAAAAAAAAAAAGACTTCATCTCAAAAAAAAAAAAAAAAAAAAATTCTCTGGTGTTGCTCCTTGCCTTGATTGGTGAAAAAAATACATAAAGAAAATCCTAGGAACAATTATTCTGTTTTATAGAATGAGGTACTGCCCAATAATATATATACACATATACACATATGTACACATATATTTATAAATCCTATGCTTGGGCCAGAGGCAGTGGCTCATGCCTGTAATCCCAGCACTTTGGGAGGCTGAGAAGAGTGGATTACTTGAAGTCAGGATGACACCAGCCTGGGCAACATGGCGAAACCCCATGTCCACAAAAAAATGCAAAAAAATTAGCTAGGCGTGGTGGCATGCACCCTAGTCCCAGCTACTCAGAAGGTTGAGGTGGGAGGATAGCTTAAGCCTGTGAGGTGAAGGCTTCAGTGAGCCGAGATTGTGCCAATGTATTCCAACCTCAGCAACAGAGTGAGAACTTGTCTCCCCAAAAAAAAAAAAAATTCCATGCTTTATAATATTCAAACCTAGAAATTACCCAAATGGAGACTGGATAAACAAACTGTGGTACATTCATACCATGCAATGATACTGAGTAATAAAAAGGAATGAACTACTGATACATACGTTACCATGGATGAATCTCGAAAGCTTTATATTAAGTGAGAGAAGCCAGACACTAAAGGCTAACATCTTAGAAAAGACTAAACTGTAGTAACAAACATCACACTGGTGACCAATGGTTGTGACCAATGGTTGCCAGGGTCTGGAGGTGGAAAAAGGGACTTAACTACAAAGGGGTACGTCGGAACTATTTCAGGTCATTAAAATACTCTCTATCTAGACTGTGGTGGTTACATGACTGTATAGTATCTATTTTTCAAAAGTCATAGAACCACTCAACCAAAAAGGGTGAATTTATTGTATATAAATTATACCTCAATAAAACTCATTAAAAAAACACAAACCATAGGTAGTGTCCTCACCCTTTCTCTCAGGAACATTTAATTACCATTTCAGAGAGAACAAACAGCATTGTATGCTGAACTCACAGTGTTATGATCTTTGATTAATCATTATCTGTTCATCCCCAAAGGGGATGCCAACAAGAAAACAAGATCCTTTTGTATTTATTCTCAAGAACCTGGCCCAAGGGAAGTGACTGGTAACCAGAGGACCAACTAGAGCAAAAAGAGAACTATCTGAAGAATGGACACGAAAAAGTACTGCCGTGCTTTTCACCCTCAAGTGTGAGAGTGGAAAAGAGAAATCTGGCAAAGTGACCAAAGACCTCAATGATGACTGCAAAAAAACACAGAAAACAACTGCCTGGATGGTACAGCTTGGCTTCCACCTGAAATTTTAAGAAGTTAAACTCCTTCAACAACACAAAAGTAATGCAAATATAAAGCTATTCTTATGTTTCACTGTAAGGAAAAAATTCATCCTTTACATTCTATCAATGGCATTCACAGCAGAAACCATTAGTAGTATGTACAACGTGACGGACAATCACTGAAACCTAAAGCTTGAAGCACTCTGGAAATTTTCTGAGCTCCCAATAAACATTACATAAAAATGTGTTTATGCCAGATAAACAAGGAGGAAATGTCTCATGTCAGTCCTCAAAAATCAGTTGGGAACAAAAGTGAAACACTTACCAGAAGCATCTCTTCTTCCCCATGCCAGCTCCTCCTGTCTGTTTTAGATTTGGTAGGCCATTGCCGTTTCCGATTCTCATTGATTTCTGCTGAAACCATCTTGCTGGAGGCAGCCTGCATACCTAACCAGAAACGTTAACAATCCAGTTTCTATTATACGGACTGAGTTTAAAGAGATTACAGGGCCGGGCGCTGTGACTCACGCCTGTAATCCCAGCACTTTGGGTGGCCGAGGCGGGTGGATCATGAGGTCAAGAGATCGAAACCGTCCTGGTCAACATGGTGAAACCCCGTCTCTACTAAAAATACAAAAAATTAGCTGGGCATGGTAGCGCATCCCTGTAATCCCAGCTACTCAGGAGGCTGAGGCGGGAGAATTGCCTGAACCCAGGAGGCGGAGGTTGCGGTGAGCCGAGATCGTGCCATTGCCCTCCAGCCTGGGTAACGAGAGCAAAACTCCATTTCAAAAAAAAAAAAAAAGAAATTACAAATAACACGGATTGCAAAAAGAGCTGCAATCTACAACTCCAGATTTAAATTTCTTAAGATACCAACATTTTATGCAGTTAATTGCAAATTTACACAGATTTAAAATAATAATCATTCTGGTCTAGGAGCAGATTCTTAAAGCATCATTGCAATTTGTAACTTTGAGGATGACAGGTTCATCCCTAGCTCTCCCCAAACCTAATTATTTATCCCTGTGTCAGTTATTTGCATACGTTTGTCTTTTTCCTGTCATATCATACCCTTTTTGATGGAAAAGATTGTTTCTTATTCAATTGTTCCCATACTAGGCCTGCCATAATGCTTTGGATGCTAAAAACAAAAGTTAATGAGAATCACTCACATTAAAAACTGACCTAAAACTGGCAGCAAATTCTCTGAGGTCTAGACATCTTCTGAAGACTTAGCTTATCTCTAAACACAAACACAAAAAATGTTCTTACCTGGGGCCCATGGCTCCATGTAATTCAGGGGTTAAATATGCCAAATGTTGCGTGGGTATACGTTCTTTTTAAAAAAATATACTGTGTTCATTTAAAGGGATAAAAGTTCCAAAGTTTTCATCAGATTCTCAGACATCTATAACCTAAAAAAAGCTTAAGAACTGCTCTTTATATGTAGCATAGAGCAGTTTGGAACAGCTGGCTTCAAGGGTGCCAGCTGAACATACTAAGGAATCCTCATTCTCACCTTTGAGGACGGAATCCTCCAGACGCTCAGCCATCTCATGGCACTGCTGCTGGTAGTCAGGGCTGGTGAAGCAGTGTTTGGGTTCTAGAAGCTTCCGTTGCAGTCGCTCCAGCCGCTTCTGCTCCTTTTCAGCCTCTCGCTCGGCTTGTTGTTTTACCCATTCAGCCATTCTGGGGATGAGGGAGGAAGAGATGTTACTGAACAGATATATTACATATATGCTTTTATATATAAAATGTCCCTGATGAATTAATGCACTTGTTTATATTGGGATATTCTCTTAGAAAAGTGGGCCATGCTTACTACTGGCCTATGGTACTGGTTTGAACTAAATCTCAAAGATAATTATTAAATTACAGAAGAGGTTAAATCTGATAATAAATTCGGATGTAAATATTTTAAGTTTCCATTGCCAATATGCACGGCATATGTATAATCACTACTGATAGGAAAGTATGTGTCACTCTTAAAAAAAAAAAAAAAAAGGTGGACATCTTACGCTTTTTCATGATTGACATCTCGTAGTCTCCTTCCACTGAGATCCCGGCAAGCTTCTCGATTGGTTGTCTTCTCAATCTGAGCACCAAGTGCTCGAAGCATAGATCCAAAACCTGAGCAGATGTATTTGGAGAAAGCAGGTTAAAATGTGTTCAAGGATGAATACAAGCCGAATTTGTGAAAACAATCTGTATCACAAGGTTAACAATGATCTCTCTCTTTTTCTAAGAAAAGATGAACATCAAGATTCTAATTCAGGCAGCAAAAGTAAAAAGACTGATTCAACCTCATGCCTTTTGCCTTTCATTTTATAGTTCTGAGATAAAATACCTAGCCCTCCCCAAACCTAATTATTTATCCTTGTGTCAGTTATTTGCATACAGGTATAGTATCTATACGGCTGGACTATTTAAAAAGCTTCACCCAATGACAGAAATTCCCAGATTCCCAAATTAAGAACTTAAAAAGTATATACTGAGACTTCAATGAGTTTAAAAGGAAAGGCAATTTTAAGCTCTCACTGACTGATATGACATGCTTCATTCTTTTTCTTCCCCCCACTAAGAGATGGGGTCTTGCTCTGTCACCTAGGCTAGAGTGCAACAGCTTGATGTAATCAAACTCACTGCAGCCTTGAACTCCTGGGCTCAATGGATCCTCAGCCTCCCAAGTTGCTAGGATTACAGGTATGTGCTAATGTACTATTTTGTTTGTTTGTTTTTGTAGAAACCAAAATCTTACCGTCTTGCCCAGGCTGTTTTCAAACTCCTGGGTTCAAAGAACCCTCCTACTTTGGAGTCTCAAAGTGTTGGGATTACAGACATGAGCCACCATGCCTGGCCACTTACTTCATTCTTCTTTTTTTGAGATAGAGTTTCACCGTGTTGCCCAGGCTATAGTGCAGTGGCACAATCTCAGCTCACTGCAACCTCCACCTCCTAGGTTCAAGTGGTTATCATGCCTTAGCCTCCTGAGCAGCTGAGATTACAGGCATGCAACAGCACACCTGGCTAATTTTTGTATCTTTAGTAGAGATGGGGTTTTCGCCACATTGGCCAGGCTGGTCTCCAACTCCTGACCCAGGTGATCTGCCTGCCTTGGCCTCCCAAAGTGCTGGGATTACAGGTGTGAGCCACTGCGCCCAGCCCATGCTTCATTCTTAATGATACAATTTCCAACAGCTGAATATAGTCTGATACGTCAGCACTCTGAAAACCAAACCAAGTCACTGTAGATTTTGAGAAAGCTTAGGGATCACACGTTAGTGCCTTAGGAAAAATACCAAGAACTGTTTATATTGTTTTCACTCTTCTTTTCTTCTTCGTAGTTGTATTAATACAACCAAAACTTTAATCTGCCTCAGCCTATAAACAATTGTGTTTCCTAAAGTTAACTTTAGACTTCCTTTGGAACTACAATAACAAGACAAACTCTTAATTAAAGTGGAAGGAGATTTAAAAAAAATACATTTATTCAGCAAATTGAACAGAATAATGGCCGTCTCTCTTTATCTAACTTTTCCCCAAAGTTTTAGAGCCTAGGTTCCCTAAGAGCTATCCAGCTAGTGAAAGTGCAAATTGTATCATGCAATGTTTCTTTCTCAACAAGAATAAAAGTCTGGGCAACAAGGCAAACCCTCATCTCTACAAAGAATACGAAAGTTAGCTGGGCATGGTGGTGTGCACCTGTAATCCCAGCTACTAGGGAGACTGAGGTGGGAGTATTGCTTGAGTTCAGGAGTTCAAGGATGCAGAGAGCTGTGATCGCACCACTGTACTCCAGCCTGGGTGACAGAACAAGATGGTGTCTCAAAAAGAAAAAAAAAAGAAATAAGAATATAAGAGAAAATATCCAAAATTAGGTTAAGTAAATGAAAGAATTCATAAGGAAAAACAATGTTGGCATACTAAAGAGACCAAGAAGTTTGTTAATTAAGTACCACGGCTAAAGACAGCAAATGTCAGCAGCAGAACAGGAAAATAAATAAATAAAAATAAAGACTGTAAATGTGCTACAACTAAGTAGTTAATGTCCACATCCTACCTCCTTTTCCACCACAAAGTCTGGGTTCCAAACTATACACGGCTCCATGCTGCACTGTGTCATTGGTGTTAATGAGTGCTCCATTGCATTTTACGAAGTAGTATTCCACTGGAACATCCTAGAGACAAATTTGGTTTTTTAATGCCTTTTATGAGACAATACAAGTTTGTTACAAGAAGGGACCTAGCTGTCTTTTTGTTACTCTGGTTACAAGTACACGGTGTTAAATTAATATTTATTGAATTGAAAATGTAAACTACTAGAAGAAAAGTTGGCCGGACGCACTGGCTCACACCTGCAATCCCAGTACTCTGGAAGGCCGAGGTGGGTGGATCACAAAGTCAGGAGATCGAGACCATCCTAGCCAACATGGTAAACCGTGTCTCTACTAAAAATACAAAAACTAGTTGGGCATGGTGGCACATGCCTGTAATCCCAGCTACTCCAGAGGCTGAGGCAGGAGAATCACTTGAACCAGGGAGTCGCAGGTTTCAGTGAGCCAAGAACAGTGACACTGCACTCCAGCCTGGTGACAGAACAAGACTCCGTCCCAAAAAAAAACACATCATTTCACATGATGTATTCTGGGTATAATTTTTTCCCTACATTACCTAATCATCACATACAGAAAAAACTTCCATCTTTTTGGTGAAAACAAAAACTGCCTCTTATTCTCTAATAGGTAATCTGAGTCAAGGTAGAGACTATACAGGACTCAGATTTAATAACTGTAGCAGTCCCATTTTCTGACTTTCCTAAACAGGTAAGATTAAATCGAACATCAAAAATAGTCCTCAAATTTAAAACTGACAATATACATCCTCAAAAGTGCAGGTAGGAATAAAAAGAAGAGAAGGAAGGAGTCAAGCATATGGTGTTTGTTTTTTTTTTAAGACAGAGTTTCACTCTTGTTGCCCAGGCTAGAGTGCAATGGCATAATCTCAATTCACTGCAACCACCATCTCCTGGGTTCAAGCAATTCTCCTGCCTCAGCCTCCCTAGTAGCTGGGATTACAGGCGCCCGCCACCATGCCCAGCTAATTTTTCATATTTTTAGTAGAGATGAGGTTTCACTATGTTGGCCAGGCTGGTCTCAAACTCCTGACCTCATGTGATCCACCTGCCTCAGCTTCCCAAAGTACTGGGATTATGGGCATGAGCCACTGTGCCTGGCTACAGTATGATTTTTAATACATCAATATAAGTATACCATGGGAGACATAAAAACATGAAAAATGAGCAAAAATGAGCAAAGTTGCTGAAGACACATTAAGATTCTGGGCAGCCCCTGATTCTGTGTAGCTGCCCCAAGGCCCACATGAATCAATACTGTCAGCAGTCCTGTAACCCAGTAAAAGTCCACTCTGAACCAAGGAAATACAGAATTACCAAGCAGCACCAGGTTGGTGGATGTATGGAGACTGAGATGTGATTATAGTTCTCTTCTACAGTCCCTGCCCAGATGCCTGAGTAGAACAGGTGAAGAGTCGGATTTATCTTGTTTGGGGTTTCCCAGGCAAATATAATGGCGGGAGAGAGAAGCAAGGGAGCTCAGGCTGTCTGCAATGAGGTAACATGAAGGACTTTTCTTGTCTTTAAAATACCATCTACCTTAAAGAGCTGTTGTAAACATTAAATGAGATATGTAATACATTTTTTTTTTTTTTGAGACGGAGTTTTGCTCTTGTTACCCAGGCTGGAGTGCAATGGTGCGGTCTCGGCTCACCGCAACCTCCACCTCCTGGGTTCAGGCAATTCTCCCGCCTCAGCCTCCTGAGTAGCTGGGATTACAGGCACGTGCAACCATGCCCAGCTAATTTTTTGTATTTTTAGTAGAGACGGGGTTTCACCGTGTTGACCAGGATGGTCTCGATCTCTTGACCTTGTGATCCACCCACCTCGGCCTCCCAAAGTGCTGGGATTACAGGCTTGAGCCATAGCACCCGGCCCGAGATATGTAATACATTTTGTATCTGTTTAATGTTTACATATTAGAAGACTTTTGTATGTCTAACGAGTATGGTATTTCTAAATAACTTTAAAATACATTAATTAGAAGGCAGAAAGTATACACCATGGAATGATGTATACTTCATTTCCAAACAGGATGGCTTATTAAACAAAACTGATCAACAAAATTGCATTTTCTACTTAAGATTTGATGAAGTAGGCCGGGCGCGGTGGCTCACGCCTGTAATCCCAGCACTTTGGGAGGCCAAGGCGGGTGGATCACGAGGTCAAGAGATCAAGACCATCCTGGTCAACATGGTGAAACCCCGTCTCTACTAAAAATACAAAACATTAGCTGGGTGTGGTGGCGCGTGCCTGTAATCCCAGCTACTCAGGAGGCTGAGGCAGGAGAATTGCCTGAACCCAGGAGGCGGAGGTTGCAGCGAGCTGAGATCGCGCCATTGCACTCCAGCCTGGGTAAGAAGAGCGAAACTCTGTCTCAAAAAAAAAAAAAAAAGATTTGATGAAGTCACGAGCAGAAAAAAGGATAAGAAACGTGGACTCAGTTTAACTGTTTTTAACCATTTGTGCATTGTAAAGTGCTTCAAAACAAAGTATCATGTGTGTTTTAGCACAATCAGTGTAAGGCTATCAGAGATAAACCTGTCAAACTTATTGATTCACTGCAATGAGGGAAACTGCACACCAGGAGTATTGGGTATCTAACCAACACAAAGAAAGAAGTGTCATTATCAGATTTGGGCACAGGGTGGAGTTGAGGTGAAATTTACATCAAGTAGTGTTTAAACAGCCTCAAAATAAAGCAGGACTGTATACGAAAAGTGTCAACATCAGATTCGTATTGTGAAGGCTCCTCTTTCCTTGGAAACTACAAATTTAAGATAAATGTGGAAAACTGTGTCCAGAAATTCTTAATGGGAAGTTCTGACTTGGGTTGGAAATCAAGAATGCTTCTCTACAAGGAAAGAGTGGGAGGATTCACTCTTACTGAGAGAATTTCAAACAGCACAGTTTCTTATAGTCTATTATTTCTGAGACCAAGGTTTCTCAGTCAATAAGAAAGCATTAGACCTTCATGGGGTCATTATGACATATTACCATTTGCTGTTAACTCTGCAGCTGTACATCAGTGTAGGTGTGGGGAAACAAAAAGAGAAACAAAAAATTTTGCAGCTGGCTTTATCTGTATCTCTTATCCCAACCTGATGAAAAGCAGGACAGATTTTTATTTCCTCAGTGGGAGTTAACACTAACTTCATCATGTGTCAGAATAGTTTTGCTTTTAAAAGCACAGGTGTGAACTTGAGCTATTCTTATTTGTTCCAGTATCTCATCAAATACCTTTTGTGTTTCTATTCTTATTTGCTATGGTCATGTTTCTTAAGTTTCTGACTGAATCCACTCACATATGTACATGTATATGTACATGGACATGGACACGTGTACACATGTACACACCTGTATGCATACACACACGTGCACATGCACAATGCACACACATGTACACCTGTGCACATGTACATGTGTACATGCATGTCCATGTGCACGTGCGTGTCTGCACACGTGTGCATGTGTGCACGTATAGGTGTGTACATGTGTATGTACACGTGCGTGCACATGTGCACGTGTACACATGTATGTGTGCATACGCATATTCATGTGTAGATGCATGCATATGTACACATACACATGTGTATGTGCATGTGTATGTACATATAGTAATTTTTTTGAGAGTCTTGCTCTGTCACCCAGGTTAGAGTGCAACAGCACAATCTCAGCTCACTACAGCCTCCATCTATCAGGGTCAAACGATTTTCCTACCTCAGCCTCCCAAGCAGCTGGGATTACAGGTGTCTGCTGCCACGCCTAGCTAATTTTTGTGTATTTTTAGTAGAGACAGGGTTTCACCATGTTGACCAAGCTGGTCTCAAACTTCTGACCTCAGGTGATCTGCCCTCCTTGACCTTTCAAAATACTGGAATTACAGGCGTGAGCCACTGAACTCATATTTCTTGCTTCTGATTTTGAAAATTCTTATTTCCAACACACCTCACGATTAAGATCCTATTTTTTCTGGTTTCGCTTTGGATCAATTGTCAGCAAGTCTGAATGTTGTACTCATGAGTCAACAGTTATTTTCAAAGGAATTAGAATGCAATTATTTTCATGGTCAAAAATAGCTGTGCTTACAGGTTTTAGACTGGATTACAGAGCAGGAAAGAAAACATAGAAAGTAAAAACCCGTATTATTTGCAAACACACACTGCTTCTTCACAGAATCGATCCAAGTCTCTTGAAATTTTGGTTTAGACTGCAGTGTTAACATTTGTTAAGCTTATAAATAGCAAGCAGAGGAAATAGCCGAGGAAAGCACGGATGAGGTGCGAAAAGAACAGAGTTCTAGTTCAAGTGCCAGAATAAAATTAGATTCAGGGAAACCACTACATTCTTTTGACAACTGAACAGGTTTAATATCTTATACCTGGTAAAAGCTTGAGAGTTAAGTAAAAGCTCCTACGTAACTTTGAAAGTCCCTGATAGGTTTTCACGAATACGCATGGACAAATGAGACCATTAAATGATTAACGAACACTTCTACGTAACAGGCCCTTAGAACTCAGGCCCTCAACAGGCCACACGTGTGAATGCTTGGCCACAACCAGTGACCAGAAGAATCAATTTTCCTCCCCAATAATCCTTTGTCCTGGGTGTTGACATACGTATTTCTCTAGGCTGGAGCTAATAAAGCTGTGTGATTAGTGGACAAAATACACGTCACATAACCATCGTAAGAAGGTGAAGACTTGAGCCTTAAAAATCAGCTGGCTCAACTCCCGAAGACCATCAGATTTACGGATAAAGAAAGAAACAAAGCATTTGTAACTGTGGGCGGGACTAAGTAACTGTAACAGGATTTTTTTTCCTCCCTCTTGGTGGGGAGGCAAAACAACCACCACCACAAAACAACAGCAAAGAAAGGTCTCAGTAACAGTTCGAAGCACCTTAACACTAAGGAAATCTCAGCCTTAACAAGTGAAAATCCCAGAGAACAGACATACCCCGCTTGACAGACCTACTCCGTACCCAGCGCTGCTACTTGTCCGCCTCTTTCTCCGTCCTAACAGCAACTGAAATCCTCACCTGATCTTGACAGTGCCGGTGGATAAAATCCCAGACGGTGCACTGAGCCGAGGCACACCGTACCGCCTTGCACCCAAAGCCGGGGCCCCGAATCCACACAAGCGCCGCGGCCTCCGCCATGTTACTGAATCTTCGAACCTCCAGCCTCCCTGAGACACCAGACGCCGCAACTCGCCCGGCGCATCTTGATGACGCGCACTGCGTCTTCCAGCGCCCCGCCCCTCACGCTGCCGTTCGCCCTTCCCCTCCCCTGCGGCTGGTCACGTGAGCTGGGCGACAGGGCGGCAGGGCGGTAAGGCGGCAGGGCGGCAGGGCGGCAGGGCGGCGGGGGCTGGGGGAAGGGAACAGGAAAGGCCTGGCGGAGGCCGATAAGACGGCCGAGCACAGGGCGAGGCGTTGCTAGGAGAAGTTGCTAGGGCGGGGCTCGAGGGACCGGCTATAAAAGGCTGGCGCTAGGTTAGGTTTCGAGCGTCCTGGCCGAAAGCGATAAGACTGTAATTAAGCACCGCCCTGTACCGTGGGCTTTGGCCCTTTTCCTCACATCTGTGTAGTTATTTTTGGGTCGCGGAGAATTGTGGCCCGAGAAGGCCCTGCTGCCCGGGGGTGTGGGGAGAGAAGCTGCAGTCCCGGAAGAGGTTTTGGGGGGCCGCTTCCTTGGCCTGGAGGAGCCCCCCCAATCCCGAGGGGGCAAGGAAACGACTCCCAAGAGGTCCCCAAACAATGGCCCGCGTGGTTTTTCCGCCAGGTTTACAGAGCGTTCTCTTCTCCAGAAACAGCCAGCCTCCGGTTTCTGCTAGCCACGCACGGTTTATTCTTATTTCCGCCTGTTTGTGCTCTGCGTTATCTCCACTTTAGCTCTGTTTTCAAAATATTTCACAGCAAGTGGGCTCTTGTGAAAGGCAGTGACAGGAATGACGCTTACAGTCCTGCTGCTTCAAAAAACCCTACCGTAACTTTTATTCTGCACCATGGAAACACACTCGGACAGATTTGCATAACCTAACTTTAAGGCTTAGGGAATCCGAAGGAGTCCCTTAATATTTAATAGGCTGAGATTACGGTATTTCTAAAATCCTGAACAATTCAAAAGCCACCAGTGTGGAGAGAGGAAGATTATCAAGAGATGTCTGTGTCTCCTAAACACAAATGTATCGGCCCACAGAATTGCTTTCTCTGCCTTTAAAATGCTTAGCAAATGAAACTCCTTGCTGAGAGGATAACAACACAAAATTCAGAAATCGTTTAGCCGTAGCAGTATGTGCAGAAATGGAATTTTCAAGGCCTGGGAAGTTATAGATTCTGTTGTCTTTATTTCACACACAAGGGAAAGTTGGGGAGAGAAAGGGGCCCCATGGGGATGCCAGTAGATAAAGAAAAGTTACAAAAAATAATAAAGACACACTGTACCTAGAAGGCAGTCTTTTGGAAAGGTTGTGCCGTGGCGACCCTGGAGCTTTGAAGGTGTCTCACCCGGTACATGTAAGCAGCCCAAACTCCAGAAACCTCAAGTCAGTCTGCAGTCGCCCCCCGCCACCCCACCAGCTGTCTGTCCTCGGGTTCCTGAGCAAGTAATCTACAGATCTGAGTCTTAAGCCTCTTTTTTAATTTGTGATTTCTTCCTTCTGGGGATCAAAAATGACTATTTCAAATAAATAAAAAATTTTAATGACTATTTGAAAGGTCTGAGATCCTACAAGTAACCTATATGAAGATCAGTTAGGCTTTCTATAACATTTTTGTGTCAGGGTAATGTTTTGTATTGTGTAAGGAATGATGATGATTATAGTCTTTTTTTTCTTCTTTTTTGAGACACTCACTCTACCACCTGGGCTGGAGTGCAGTGGTGCAGTTGTAGCACATGCAGCCTTGAACTCCTGGGCTCAAGCGATCCACCTCAGCCTCCAGAGTAGTTGGAACTACAGGTGCATGCCACCACACCTGGCTGATTTTAAAATTTTTGTAGAGACTGTGTTTTCACTACGTTGCCCAGGCTGGTCTCGAACTCTTGGGCTCAAGAGATCCTCCTGCCTCAGCCTCCCAAAGTGGTGGGAGTACAGGTATGAGCCATGGAGCCTGGCCTAAGTAGTATTTTCCAGTAAGGAAACTCCACATCCATTTATTACTAACATTATATCTAGTCTTCATAAAACCTGATGTCTGAAGGGAATTTATCTCTTTTTATCCCTCTGTTGCATTTAAATTTCTATTATTTAAAAAGTCCCAGGCCGGGCGCGGTGGCTCAAGCCTGTAATCCCAGCACTTTGGGAGGCCGAGGCTGGTGAATCACGAGGTCAAGAGATCGAGACCATCCTGGTCAACATGGTGAAACCCCGTCTCTACTAAAAATACAAAAAGTTAGCTGGGCTATGGTGGCACGTGCCTGTAATCCCAGCTACTCAGGAGGCTGAGACAGGAGAATTGCCTGAACCCAGGAGGCAGGAGGTTGCGGTGAGCCGAGATCGCGCCTTTGCACTCCAGCCTGGGTAACAAGAGCGAAACTCCGTCGCAAAAAAAAAAAAAAAAAAAAAGTCCCAAGTACTGAATAAGTATTTGTCATTTAAAATATGAAATAACTATTGTTTTTAGCTTTTCAGATACAAATTTCTGAGCAATATATAATTTGTTAAAACTTCCAAATGAGTCTGTAGTACCATGACATATACAGAACAGACATTAAGTAAATATTAGTTGGATACTTGATGGATTACTAAGGTAGTAAGTTAATTATTCTTGCTGTACATATGATGAAATCTATTTTTCACTGATATAACACGATCTGTTCTAAGGATGCAGAATTTAACTTGGGTTGCTCACTATTAAATTCCTTTAAAGAATGGGGAAATTGAAGCATGTAAAGTTAGGGACTATGGCCAAGAACACAGTGCACATCAGTGCAAAAAACAAAATCTAGAAAGACAGCTATTAGCTGGGTTACTAAGGGTGTGTGGAATTGTCCAGTTGACAGTGCTATGCGGCAGGGCTAGTCAGTGATTATGGAAAAGAAGAGCCAACTGCTGCCACCTTCCCCACCTCACGGTGTCAGGTAGGGAAGGCACAGGAAGATACGTGAATGGTTGTCACAACTAAATGGTGAGTGGGAGAGGTGCCAGTTCCTCTACTGTCAACAGAGTGTAGCCATGTTCCTAGGACTGTATTTGGTGTGCTTTCCAGTAAACCACACTGGCTTTGTTCCTGCCTATTTTCTCCACAACAATGCTGTAGCCACATAGTTGCCTTTTGAGGACTGGTTCTGCTGCCATAAGAGGGACACTGTGAGGGCATCTTGAGGCAATGTGGAATAGTTGTTCATTGCCAGGAAATGACAGCACCAGACAATGTTTGTGTGGCAACCCATGACAGAGGCTCAACTGAGCCAAATGTCATACTGGTCTGCAAGAACAGGAAGCAGAACTGTATGCTGGCAATTTCCATAAACAGCAGCCAGGCTTCTAAACTAGCCAATCTATATCCATGTGTGACATACAAGTCGCACTTCTGTGTTTTCAGCCATGCTCGTGTGCAGAGGAGAGGAAAAGTGGTTGCTAATACCTTATTTATGACAAAAGACAATGGGACAGGCTGACCCTCTCTGTGCCAGAAACGCAAAACTACCATAAACTACCAACTTGGCAAGGTCGCCTTATAGATGGCTCCAGCCCCAGGGACAATGAGGTCAGCTCCTAGGATGGAAAAACAGCATCTGGATGAGAGCTGTGTAGTCCTCAGCGGGTGGTGGATGGTGGGAGGTGGAGCCTGAAGCAAGCCCCAAGATGCTGGCTGCTAGGGAGGGCACAGCTCCGCCCTCCTTCCTTATTGGATGGAGGAAAACAGGACAATGGTGAGGTGGAGTTGAGAGGCAGAGAAGGCTTGTGTTCAGCACTGACGCCTGAAAGGAGCATGAGAGGGCAGAAAAGAACACTAGGGTGGAGGTGCAGAGCAGAGATACAAAGCTGGCCCCACACTCAGTGCTGAGTATAGAAGCCCACCTCTTTGTAGTATCAGCAAGACAAAAGGAGCATCCTTCAGAGTGGACTTCCGCCAGTAAATTCTGTCACTCCCAGTTGCTCTAGATATTACCTTGTTTGCATTATCATGACAACACTAGCTTATAAAGACCTACTGGTTATCATTCTTATCATCACCATCAAACAATGTTTCATTAAAAAAAATTATATATTATTCACTACGAAAACTATAAAGCAAAACTAGCATAGTGCCTATATTCCAGAAATTAAGTTTCACAGCACCTGAAATTTTTTTTTAAATATTGAACTCGACTTCTCTCTGATGAATAAAAATCCACGATCCAGGCCGGGTGCGGTGGCTCAAGCCCGTAATCCCAGCACTTTGGGAGGCCGAGGTGGGTGGATCATGAGGTCGAGAGATCGAGACCATCCTGGTCAACATGGTGAAACCCTGTCTCTACTAAAAATACAAAAAACTAGCTGGGCATGGTGGCGCGTGCCTGTAATCCCAGCTACTCAGGAGGCTGAGGCAGGAGAATTGCCTGAGCCCAGGAGGCGGAGGTTGTGGTGAGCTGAGATCGCGCCATTGCACTCCAGCCTGGGTAACAAGAGCAAAACTCCGTCTCAAAAAAAAAAAAAAAAAAAAAAAAAAAATCCACGATCCTGTTTGAATTCCGTATAGCCAAGCATTTCAAAAGGGGATATTCTTGGAGAAGTGATAGGGGCCTTTGGGGGTAGTTTAATTAGTTGGCATTAGTGTATGTCTATTGTATTAGGGTTTTCCAGAGAAAGAACCACTAGGATGAATGGATGGATAGACAAATAAATAGGTAGATAGCTAATAAGGAATTGACTGGGGAAAAAAAAAAAAGGAATTGGCTCACATGATTATGGAGGCTGTTAAGTCCCAAGATCTGCGGGGTAAGTCTGCAACCTGGAGATCCAGGAGAGCTAATGGTGTAGATTCCACAAGAAGGCCAGCAGGCTGGAGAACTAAGAAAGAGTCTGTGTTTCAGTTCAAGTCCTCAAGTCCAAAGGCAGGAAAAAGCTGATGTTCCAGTTCAAAAGGAGTCAGGCAGAAGTAGTTCTCCTTTACTACGGGAAGTGTTAACCTTTTTGTTCTATTCAGACCTTCAGCTGACTGGATGAGGTCCACCCACATTAGGGAAGGCAACCTGCTTTACTCAGTCTACTGATTCAAAAGTTAACCTCATCCAAAAACCC